AGGCAGTTTTCTGGAAATTCAGAAGACACACCTTTGAAAACAGGACTCCTACATTACTGCGCTGACCCTTCTTTCTCATTTCCTGGAAAATTAATGCACGCATTAGAAATGTATGTGTATAAATAGCCATAAAGTCATGGGATGACCTAAAACTCAAGTGAAAATTATAAGGGCCCCGATTGTGGAGACATTTGACTGCTCACATTTTCACAGTTAACTGTCTTTATCTTTGAGGCAGCTCACTGAACAGAGTGCCAACAAGCAAATGGTATTGTGTTACAAAAGGAAAAAGGGGAAGAGTTGCTAAGTTTTTATGCTGTCCAGCTCTTATTCATCCTTAGCCACGACATCATCAAAGTGAGGTGGCTGTTGATATTGCTCCATCTCTCCCGAATTCTATAGTATTTATTAGGTGTTCACTAGTACAGTACTCCTAAAAGCCAAAATGTCACAAAAATCCACCAAACAAAATGACCAACCATAAAACAGCCACTCCACAATATATTGCATGTGAGTCAGCCAAGATGTGAAATAGTAATGGACTGAATTTGGACAACAACTGTTTTAAGACACTGGACAGTAACTGAGGCTTGCTATTCTCACAGGCACCAAACACATGCATCTCACTTGAAATATAAGCAGCTCAGAATGCTTCTAGTTGTCGGGAAATACCAATTCCCATTGCTAGGCCTCCAAAAATGGAACTGGATTCTTTTTGTCCATCTCATGGAAAATTTTAGAATACAAAATTCTATTTTTAGCGGTTACTTTGGTGTTAAATATCAACTTCTACCTTGGTGGGGGGAAAAAAAAACAGATGAGGAGAAATTATACTGGAGACATTCAAAGCTGTAAAAAAACTTGAGTAGAGAATCCTAACAAGCAGCGTGAAATTACTTACTTTTTGTAAAAGCCATCCTGACAGGGTTAACATAAGGGAGATGAGTTGCATAGAAAACTGTATTAAAATGCAGCTAACTCTAGCAACTCTTTGTAAAAAGTACCAGAAGCAAATCAAAACTCAGAAAATTAGTTAAAGTTTTTCTCAGCTCCCACTAGGCAATAAACCAAGAAAAAAAATCCCCCCTCACCCTTTTTTAACACTTAGAAAGCCCCAATGATCTCATGCACATTGCCCCATGTAACCAATGTGGAGTGGAAAAAAAAAAAAGCCACCAAGTTCTGAAGGCATGAGCCTTCTCATCCACAGGCGTCAATGGATTAGAAACAGGAGAAGTGGTTTGCCAAAAATAAAGTGTATTATAAAGAAAACAGGAGAAAACAGAGGCTTTTTTTTTCCTCAGTGTTAAAAGTTTTAAAGCTTTAAAAAGTCCTTTATGCAAATAACATATTCACATACTTCCAAAGCTGAGATTTTATCCCCAGAAGGTAGGTCTGCTGAAACTTTGCAGTTGAAGGGAGTTGACCGGTTATGAAGAATACTCGGATACAGGAAGAACTGCAGGCCTGGGAATCCCAAAAATCACACAATGTTCTCAAAGAAACTACAGCTCCTGTCTCACTCTGCCCTGGGAACGCAGATGAAAACAGGTTTTCTATGTCTCCTTAGCAGATGCCTGTTGGAGAAGGCATTTTGGAGAACTCCACAGGAGTGAAGGAGAGTGGGGTCGAAAGGTCTCTTAAATGTCTTGGCAGTGCAAAATGAGAGAAACCAAAAAATTTGGGCTCATGTGATAGTTTTCATGGATTCTGCTAAGGTTAGATATCCCAACTTGATTGATTTGATTCCCAGCGATTGCTCAGTTCAATCTAAGTCTTAAGTTTAGATATGTCAACTGTTTTTAGGTTAAGATGAGAAAAGTAGAGGAGAACCTCTGTGAGTCATTTTAGGCTGAAAACACACAGCTGCTGTTTGAATGCACACATGACAAAAAAGCACCTATCAACCCTGCCTCTGTGAAAGCCCCTAAAGTGCTTCCTTTCCGCTATTAGCATTTTTGCTGCTCAGTGACAATAAGGAAAGCAACTAAGGTGTGTGCAGGAAGCTAAATGATTATTAGCTTCTTACCTATAAGACATACAAAAATTTCTCTATAGCAGATGGATTGCTTTTAAGGGAGTGCAAATCCAGGAGGAGAAAGAAAGTCTGAAAAAATGCTTTGAAAGCTATAAAATCTCCAGAGTTTTCTCATTATTCCTTGTACAGGAAGGTAGTGTGAGACATCCCTGCAAGCAGAACCAATGTAGGTGTTTGGTGCTGCTTAAATATAAAATTCTGAGAAGTGATGCCCACTTCTTGTAAATCTACCAGGAAGTTCATCTCTGTCAGTGACAGCAGAAGGCTTCCATCAAAACGTGTTACATTCTGTCCCCCTCACTGTATCATGTCTGTACAAAAGCAGAAGCAAGAGGTGGAAAGGTTTGTTTGCATGAGGGAAGGCTGTGTCTGTGCACACACTGTGATTGCAGGCATTCAGTAAACACAAAATGAAACTCGGCTAAGTTTGACTGATACTAGTAATTTAGAAAGATGTTTTCGTCTTACATTACATCCCATGTTCTGCACAACTCTCTATACATTTTCTTTCTGTGTGCTCTGTGCTTCACTAGTGCCGTTCAGTTTCTCTGCTGTGCCCAGGTATTCTTTGTGGGTGCATTAGGGCACTCTCCCTCTTCTCTTTACTGTTGCCCAGGGTCTTTTTTTTTTTATTCCCTCACAAGAATGGCTTGACTCCTCTGGTCTAAAAAGGGGAGATGTGGGCACTGACAGCAGGATGGAGAGCATCCCTGTAGGCACAGAGCTTCCCCAGGCACAGCTGTGAGGGCAGGTGAGGAGGGAGCGGAGCCAGGGCAGGTTCAGGGCCTGGTGCCATGCTCCTCGCTCACCCTGCTGAGTCACAGTTCCTCCATCAGCGTGGGGAGATGGAGTCATTTCCCCACCAACTTCCTCACGCCGCAATCAGCGTTTGCCTGCCATGCACCCCAGCTGCGCCACCTGCCTTCAGGGCTGGAAGCCGTCTGGCACCAGTGGGCTTCATGGGGCAGCCAAAGGTCCCTTGTGCGACAGCCTCCCTGACCCAGCGACTGCCTCACATCCAGATCCTTCTCCTGGTCAGACCTCATGGTGGGCAGGCCGGTCAGGGTGTTACAATTCTCCAGCTCAGAAAGCCAGAATGAAACATGTCCCTCCAGTGTTGTCCTGTGACTGTCCCCTCTCTCAGCTCAGTCCAACACGTGGCAAAGGAATGATGGAGGTGCGGGGCTTCACCCTGCTTCAAGGGAAGCCAATCCAGACTGGATGAACACCTCTAAAATATAATTACTAAGTAGTAGTCAATTGAACTTTCTATCCCAGTTTTAGTAAGACAGTTCTCCCAGGCAAAAGGAAAACAAATCACGCTAATTTGGCACATCCATTTGACAGCTTCTGTTAAGGCTTTACATTAACTTTAACCTTTGAACATCATTTCACTGGGATTCAGAGAAGATCTCCCTCAAAGCTTTGTCAGCAGAGTCAGTGCTGAACTGGGAAGTGACAGGCTGAACATCCATACCCACAGTTTCTCAAGTGCTAAACCACTTTTTTATCAGATGAAGCTTCTATTCCAGGTGCAAAGAAAGGCTTTCTTAATTTCAGTCTAGTAACTAATATTATATAGATTTTAAAATGGATGCTTTTGACCTTCCCATCTCTAAATAGACTAGAGGATCAAAAGAAGTGGCTACCTGTAGAAGTCAGACAACAGTGGTCATATTGGTTACTTCAATTAGTTAGCCACAGATAACATTTCCTTCATTTGAGAGTCCAGTTTGAAATCCAAACCCATTTTTCAGTAAGTTAATATTTAAGATAACTAAAGAGATTTCTGCATCTAGCTAAAGTTAGTCAGCATCCAAGCAGCTTCACACAAAATCACAAAGACTGAATTAATCAGCCATTATCAGCCATCAAATATTACCCTCTAGTAGGGGGAAAAAAGTGTAAAAATAAAAATAACCAGTCCTCAAATTATTAGAGAATCCCTTAAATACCTTGTCCCTTGTTGAGGAGAAAATTTAAGTTCTCTAACCAACAAGCATTACATAGCTCCATTATATAGACATCTCATACTTAATGCATGCAACATGTATAAAGAATTCTCCACAAACTATTGCCAGGAGAAAGACAAACTATAGCAAATCTATCCTTCTCATTTTCCTGCCTTACTCCCAAAATGTATTTTAAATAAAATGGCTTGGCCTCTGGTTCACAGTGCTTTCTTATTATCATGAAAAGAGGCAGGACAGTAAAGTTACCACAGACTAGTAACAGGGGGAAAAATGAACCAAAAAAAACACCAAAACCAAATGAGCACTGTGCAATTTAACTTGACACTGCATTCAAAAAAATGGATCAGGTTGTAAAAAAATTTGAATGGAGAGTGATACTTCTTTCAGGAATATCTAGGCATCATCTACTAAGGAGAAAAACTGAGTTGGAAAACAAGGTGAAAACAGTCACATTTTAGAAATCAGGTCATTTTGTCCGAGATTCAAACATTCCATTTTTTTTATTCTTCAAAGATGCCTTAACACTGTTCCGTTTGCAAGCAATAGTATGGTAGTAAGAAATTGAAAAGATACCCTTTCAATTAAGGAAGTTCTGTATGAAAGATTATTATTACTGGCTAAGAAAGGGCAGATTTAGGCACAGTGATCTGAGGCAGAGAAAGCTTCTCAAGAAATTAATGGGAGTTCCTTTGCTTTGCACTATAATTAAGCATATGGGGTCATCTTTTACAACTTGGATGTGTGGTCCTGTTCTCCAGCATTAATGTCCAGATGATCAGTACCTGTAGTGGTCGGGTTGATAGCACTAAATTTGATGTGTCCTCATTGTCCATTAACTCGTCTGAAGTAGTGAGCCACTTTAATGGGGAGGTGAATATCAATATGTTTAGCAGTAGAGTAATGGTACTGGTGTAACTCTGTGCTAGTGGTACAACACACCTACAGTCTTTGACAGTTTTTTTGTATAACTTGCTCTTCTTCTCTCCTAGGTGGTTGTCTTAATTATTGAAACACAGTGCAAAAATTATACTGAAGATCTAATACACATGGAGTACAATAAATTAGTTACAAAGAAGCTCATTGCTAAGAGGGAAGTTAAGTGTAACCTGGATGAATACAATTTAGGAGCTAAGTGTTGCAAGAAATGTGAACGTGGTAAGTATCATTATAAAACTCTGTTGAAAATTCATTAAGAGTGGAAGCCACAACATGCACATTTGCTTTCTGTTGGGATAGCTAAATGGCATTGCTGTGGTTTCCTGGATGCAATGCTTCATTCCAGCTGTATCTTTCTCTTACAGGACACAGACACTTCAAAAGTATTTCTTGAGCTCAGTGCATGATTAACTTTTCACTACAGATAATAGTTTTCATGTAACATGCTTGTCACAAGAGAGCTAAGAATTACATATACATCTTTGAAAGATGTTAAAAAAGTACAGGCTTTTGCCTACAAGACTCTGCATATTAATGAGTTTTCCAGTTTTGCATGTACAGTTTTGTTTAGTTTGTTCTCCTTCAGTCCTAAATTGGAGGAAGAGGAGGGATAATCAGATCATCAGATCTTATATATACTACATTCCTTACATATATGTATGTGTAAAGGATATACATTCTGTCCATATTTATAAATCAAACAGTATTAGTAAATAAAAACTAAAATCTGACATAAGTCTTAGAGCTGATGGCTTCTGCCCAAAGGTAATGCAAATCTTGATTCTTGTTTTTCTCTCTCTACAGGTTTTGTTAAAAATGTCGGTTGCCCGACAGATGCTAGCAAACACTGTGTTCAATGTGAAAATGGAAAGGACTACATAGATCATGACAACGATTTAGAGGAGTGTTTGAGATGTTCTTCATGTGACAGGATATTCGGTACGTCTATAGAAAGAACAGCTCTAGCACCGACTCCTTTTTGATGCAGGATTTGACCGAAAAGTCTCCACAATCCCTGAAGAGTGGGTAGCATGCAGATTGAAATGTTTTAGTGGTAGCACCTGAAGGAATCTGTGACAAAGTCAGAAGTTTATTCTCCAGTTCTCTTTTGTCAAACAGAAAGTAGGAAGAAGAACAACCTGTGCTGGCCCATTATTTCTCCTTATATCTGCCTTTGCTCAGCCAAAGCAGTCCTTGGAAAACAGGACCCTTACAAACTGGTTAGAGTCAGTGAAGAAAAGCGCTCTCTCTTCTTCTCCCTCTATTTAAAAGACGGGTGTTGTAAGAAGTAGGGATTAGAGAATTCCTAATTGTTTCTTTCGTAGTCTTTCATGTGATTAATAATATTTAAAATTGCTGGAGCTGACACAGCGATGTCTTATACATTCAAGATGCTGGATGGGATATAGGATCAAATTATGAGACACAGCCCTACTGAATCAGGCCAGTGATCCACCTACCCCACTATTCTGCATTCAGCAGTGGAGGCAAGAGATGCTATTTAGAGAAAGCACAAATCTGTCTTCTTTTTGTGGTCTGTTCCCTGCAAAATCTACCAGCATCCACAGCTGTGGGAAAGGATGTTAGAAGGTCCATCCCTACCTAGTCAATGTAGTATCCAATTATGAGCCCTTTGTGCATGAACCTGCTGCGGAAACCAAGTTCTGGAAATTCACTACCTGTTGCATAAATACTCATCATAGATTTATATTTTATTTAAGCCATTAAACTTATCTACCAGTTCCATGAGGTGTCCTGTAGTTCTAGTATACCTGGATTTAGGGGATGATAGTTCTGCATTCGTCATATCCAAAACTGAGTTTGGTGTGTGGAGAGGCAGCTCTTAACTCCAGTATGTTTGTACTCAGATCACCTGCTGGAATGTCAGTCTTTACTGCTTTCCCCTTCCTGTAATACAAACCTATGCATAGGAAATTTTCCTCTCGTTAGCTACTGTAATAAGCATTTTTGGATGAGTAATGAAGTTGAGTATAGCAAAACAATTAAGTATTTTGTACAGTGCCACAAAATAAACTTTTAGTTAAACTGACAAGGAAAGAAAGGGTAATGGGATGGCTGGTCACACTGTCCCATGGACAATAATGTAGTTGAAGTGCAGTCAGCAGAAAACATTAGGTGGGAGGAAATCATTCCTAGGATCTTTCATGTTTGATATTTCCATGAATGGCTTCAGCACTGGTTTCACAGTAGAACTTCATCAAATTTTCCTGTTACAGCAGGGCACTGAATGTGGTCACTCAGAAACTCACTTCTAGTCCTATATGCCTATAAAAATAGCTTTCACAGTAGGTGGATACTTACCAGTCATTTTTAATGCAGAAATAATTTTTCATAGATGGAGATAGCTTCATCATACACTGAAGATAAGAGAAAATTATTCATTTTTTTTGGATACTTAAGCAGGGAATATGTTAGCAAGAAGAGAGTGGAATTCCTCACCATTAGAGGTCCTCCAGAAGAGATGAAACTCAAGAGTAAAGAACCTGCCCCTGACATCAGGCAAGGATATGGACTACATGATCTTCTGAGTTTTCTTTCTGAATTTACATTTCTGAATGGGAAAAAGGAGCTGACAACATTTGGCAGTGCCAAATGAGGCCTTTTCCAGCAAGCTCTTCATTGTGTGCTCAGTTTTTGAGTTCTCCACCAGCAGAGGTCTCTTTGCCATCTCCCTATTTCCAGTGCTCCTTACACAAGCTGTATTGTCCCTACAATTAGGCCTCACCAGTTCCAGCAGTGGTAGAGCTAAAAGCATGTAAGTCTGAGGACAAAAGCTTTGTGAGTAGAGGCTGCTTTTAAGTCCTACCTTTTCAAACTAATAAGCCAAGTTATTAATTTCAGGATTGGAGGTTGCGAAGAACTGTACCTCAACACAGAACACAGAATGCACCTGTGCAGAGAACCATTTTTGCAATGCATCTGTACCATGTAGACACTGTGACCCATGCACCGTGTAAGTTCATGCCTTCACCGTTACATACAAAATTGTTACTATCATATGCTATCACACCTTTTTCCAGCCAGTGTGAAGGCAGCAGCTAAGGTAATGTATGACCTGAGGGAAAACATACTGATTTTCCTTTGCACTTGGCTTGTTGAGCTGACTTAGCTTAGCATCTCAAATTAACTTGCATACATGCAGGCTTTCCCAAGGCATGCAGGAAAACTTGTATAGATCCACCACAGACTTGGTGGATGTGATGGATGTCTACTCTTCAAAAAATGTAATGTATCTGTGCTTTCTGGTTGTCTGTGTGTGATCTACTGCTAGATCTAGAAAATAATTTCCACATCTTTTTCCACTCCCATACATTTCCATAACTGTTAAGTGTCAAACTCCAACATCTTGATATATGAACTATTTAGCTGATAAAAGGTGTTAGAAGATTTTGATTTGCTCTCTGGACAGAATTTATAAAGAGAGAAACAAATCCCTATTTTTCTTCATGTTTTCTGCAGATGTGAAAGTGGCATAATTGAAAAACAGTGTACTTCAACTTCGGACACCGTGTGCGGAATGAAAGGTACTATTTTAAAACCTAGCATGGTCTAACATGTGCTGTATTTTGAGAGGCTGCTGCAACAGTGCTGTTTTGTACAATGGCACATAGTGATTCCTGACAGCTAAGGGCATCATATCTACTGGGTCCTGTACTGACCTGCAGAGCACAGTCGCTCTTTTTCCTTGATCACTGTGCAGATGTAGGAGCTATTACTCCTTTTTTGGGGCAACTCATGATAGGGAAGACTTTAACAAAGAGGGAGCTTTTGCCATTCGGAGACAACGGAAAGGCTTTTATAATCTGATGCAGTCTTGCTTAAAATTTAGACTATGTTGCTGTATGGCATTTCTTGACTTAACTTTCATGTAATGTTTCTGATGTTCCAGCAGAAAAAGGAGTGCCACTGTGGGCAATTTTGATGATTGTGTTAGCAGCAATAGCAATACCTGCAGCAGTATTCTTGTGTAAGTGATTCCCTATTCCTTATTCCTGTCATGTTCAGTTGCTTACTCGGATGTAATTTTATGTTCTTGGAGTCCAGATGACTCTGTCCTCTGTCCTCAATTTTAAAAATACTTTTTGTTGTTGTTGTTTGTTTCAGATAAAAGAAAACAGAAGCATCTTACTAGCAAAAAGATCATAGATGTCTCCAAATCAGACATTTCTCATGTAAGTATTGTTCTTTAGATCACCAAAATAACCTCTGCTTGATGCAAGGAACTTTGTTCCGTTTAAATTACACTGGGACTCCCCAGGCATGTGCATGCTTCTCTATATTAATGAAGCAAATTTCACCATGAGGACTCTTTTGGAAAAAGTTAGAGAAACCCTGTATTATTTCTTCAGGAGTTGTTGATGTGCCTCTGAAGTTACATGACCAAGGTCAAAACTTCATAAATCATCAGGCCTCTGCTGACCCAGTGTACCATGCACACTTTTAGGCAATAGCAATTGTACGGTGATTCCCCAAGCTTACCCCAGTGAAGAGAGGTCTGTCTGATCTGATCCTCTCGCTCATAAAACAGGGGAAAAATGAAAGAAAATTACAGAAACCAAGTGTCATGAAATGTGTTTATCCTCTTATACAAGGTTGGTGTTTTACCAAACTTGTTTCTACTCATTTCTTTCTCGCTTCTCATTTCAGGAGGATGTGCCTCTTGTATACACAGGTAAGAGAAGCAATTTCTCAAAATTCAGTAGAAGTAAAAAAACAACCACCAGACGTGTAAATCCTACACACAAAAAAACACCCTAGTATTTTTTGTAGACTTTGCAAAGGCTAGAGCTGTCATTCTAGCACAACAGTGAGCACTTACTAAAGAAATGCCAGCTCACGTTGTGCTTATTGAGGCATTTAGTGGTATCATGAAAGTTTTGCCTCGGGAGGAATTTCTCTTGCATAGGAAGCAATTACTAATTGATAACAGGTGAATTTCTGTTCTGCATGCAGTCCAGACACTAGGAGGCAGCCAACTGGATTTCCAGAGTCCTGGATCATTACGATAACGGAGTAGTCCCACACACACCAGTGCAATTGCAGAAACACAAACCTCCCTTACATTCAAGGGCAAATCCACGGTAGTGACACACAATAGGAAGACAACATAAGCTTCAAGGCTGCATCATCACAAAAGACCTGTCCTGTTCCAGGACCTTTCCCATTGCTATTTTGAGAAAACAGGTATATGACACATGACCAGACTTTAATGATAGAGAAGGAGAGCACAGGTTACAGAGGGAACTGAGATTCTATTTCGAGTGGTAGGAAGCAATGTGGATGCAACCCTAAATATTTGAATTACCTAGCATTTGGTAGGAACATGTGAAAGCAAGCCCACTACATATTTTTAAAGAAATCACATATAAAATATACTGAGTCATGAGTACCTGAAACTTAATCTCTTTGGGATAGGAAAAGTATCAACTCTGAGTGAGGTGGTAAAAAACAGTAAGATAAAAGTGCCAAGAGCATTAATTTCCTTTTGTGCTTCTAGATGTTGACCTGAGCAGCCATGTTGCTGGTATCGTGGAGGAGATGACACTCCAAGAAGTCAAGACATTTGTCCGTAGTCACAACATCCCAGAACCTGTCATAGATCAAACTATTCGGGATTTTGTTAATGATACATCTGAACAGAAGGTTAAGCTGTTTCAAGCCTGGTATCAAAGACATGGGATAAAAGGAGCCTATGGAACCCTAATAAGCAGCCTGAGAGATTTTAAAATGTGCGCTGCAGCTGATAAAATTGAGAAAAAACTGAAGGCAACTGTTTCCAGCTGTCAGGAGAGGGGACAGCCTTGTAACGGCGACACTGAGCAAACCAAAACCTGCCCCCAGGAAGGTAAAAATTCTTACAATGACAGTGCTGAGCTAAGTAAGTCCTGTTCTGGTTGTTTGGAAGAGACATAGCACAGATTCATTTGAAGGTTATTTCTGACTCAATTAGTATTTTTCTAATAATATAAATAACAAAGCTTTTAAATGCCATTTTCACTAGCAGTTCTGATTGATTCAAGGAAGTTGTAATATGAACAAGAAATACTATTTTTGTAGCAGTATCTTGCCTTTTAACGGAGTTTTGGCTTTTTTTTGTGAGAAGAAGTTTTATAGCTTATTTACTAAAAGGTACAAGAGTCCAGCTATAGGATTCACTAGAAGAAGAAAGAAGAAATAGTCATTATTTGAAGAAAAGGTTCAGTATAAATATATGGTCCTGCAGTACTTAATCAATGTAATGTTTTGCTTACATTAAAATTGTAAGATACTGCATTTTTCAAAGTTAAAACTCCGGTGTTAAGAATCTATGAAGTATACCAAGAAGAATACTTGAAAAAAAATAAAATTATACAATGTACATCTGATTAATTTTGAATCTAGGTGGTGTTGTATAATTACATTCTACTCTGTGGTAAATGGGATTTCTCCCTTGCATAAAAGCACCTATGTGTGTATAGCAATTTTGTATATATGTGTGCATATTTATATATGTGTGTGTACGTGCAAGTTTTCTACATAAAAGCTCCCAGTGCATGTAAAAATTATTTCCCTTGTTCTCTGCAATGGATGTAAGCCTTTTCTAATGGTAAAACCCTTCAAAGCAGCAGGAGCTGAAGCAGCACAGCAGAACCATGGTTTTTGGAAGGCAACCTCCACAAGGTACAAAGTCTCAAAGTGCAAGTGTGCAACACTAGCTTTTCTAATGCAGGAACTGATACAATGAAAACGTAGCTGTCTTTAAAAAACAGCAAATCCACATAGTGCAGGACTTCTCTCTCTCCTTCTTATTGTGCAACCTATAGATGTCACTTTTAGGTCTTCTTTTACTCAGGTCAGTAAATCACAAAAAGGAAGACCAAACTTACCTTTCTTCTATTGCAGAGGGCTCAGCACCTAAATTCAGAGAGGCAGTAGTGCTCAGCTGCTTTGCAGTGAGGCTTTTCCCACTCACACATCTATTCATGCAGCCTGACAAAACCTCTCAACAGAAGAAGAGACCTTGGTGGAAAGGTTTGTGTTTCCCAGGTCATGCAGTAAGCAGAATGACTTTCTTCTTTGGCTCTGCCATCTGTTCCTTAAAGAGAATCTCCAGCCAGTGTCAAAGCTCAGCCAAAACATGAAGAAACCTGCCAGCCGGGTTGTGCTGGGATATGTGGTAGGGTTCAATTGGTGCCACCTGCCCCTGAGGGTGTGTAAAGGGCAGGGTGGGCCTGGCAGCAGGGTGCCAAGTGGTGGCAATCAACGCCTGGAGAATGCAGGGCACCCACATCTGTGTGTGAGGCTGCTCCAAAAGGTCACCTTGCCACAAGTGTGAAAACAGCTAGAAATTTGTGTATGGTGTTAAAACAGGAGCCTAAAAGGAAAACAGGACTTAGATTATCTTCAAAAACTCTAAGCCTTTCATAGGCTTGACCTGCTGAAGGTCTGAAGGACAAAGAGCATATTTTGTTGCCAAGCCCAGACAAGGTTTAGGCTGTACAACTCTTCCTCAGGTTTCAAGTACCACGTAGATGCTAAGCACTCAGAAAAACCTTCCACCCCATTTTGGAGCCTTTTGCCTCTAACCTTTCTGCATTTTCTAAGTTTCTAATAAATCAAGTTGATTGATTAGATTGACTACTGCCAAAATCTCCATATCGTGCTGCTTTTCAAAGGAAACCCTTCAGGCTGCTGTAGCTGGATGGTTTAAAAAGCAGCCCCAGACTTGTGCACCTATGGGCTGATGGAGGCATAGCATTGCATACTTGACTTGTGTCTGTGTTATCCGTGTACAGAGCGGACAGGCTGTGACGTGTTGCTGATTACCATATTTTGGCCAGGCTCCACGTATATAGGAGACTGAAATATCTGCCTTTCAGAAAAGCAGCATGGCAGTGGTGTAGGCTGTGCCATCTCTCCTAGATGGCGATCATGTAGAAGCATAGCCAAGACAGGAAGGAAGGAAAGGTCCAAGCTCTCACAAGCCGTGGTAGACAGGCTGCTCGCTGTACCATGTTCCACCAAGGAAGGCATAAATGTAGCTTAAAGGTACGTTGGCATGTGCTTGGCCTGGACTTGGGCTTTTCTTGGCTTCTGGTTTTATCTCTTAGAATGAGGCATCTGGCCACCAGAAACTGAGGTTGTCCACCTTTCAAGACTTCAGTGGTTCAGTTAGTATGACTGGTCTGAACGAGGCAGATCTTAAAATGGAGGCACCAAACCTCATAAATTTCTGGCAGTGAAATAGAATGTGAAATTTTTCTTTCATCACGCTGGAATTCCCCAACCTCAATATAACAAGGATGGTTAAAAAAAAAAAGTCCACAAGCCATGAGTCATATTCTCCTCAGGAGGTATCTGCTAGGCTGGACCTAGACTGCCATTAACTCTAGTGGTTAGCATACATCGTATTTTTTTCCTCTTAACTGGAACTCTGTGCATTAAATAAGAGAACTGATTATATTGTGCAGCTGGTTTTCCAAAGGAGTGCGTATGTGTCTACCTTGCAGTCAGCAGTGCAGTGTAGAGCTATCTGAGCTTAAAGTACCTGGACCAGAGACCAGGAGTAGTTTCACAGAATCACAGAATCACAGAACGTTAGGGATTGGAAGGGACCTCCAAAGCTCATCCAGTCCAATCCCCCTGCCGGAGCAGGAACACCCAGATGAGGTTGCACAGGAAGGCGTCCAGGCGGGTTTTGAATGTCTGCAGAGAAGGAGACTCCACAACCTCTCTGGGCAGCCTGGTCCAGTGCTCTGTCACCCTCACTGAGAAGAAGTTTCTTCTCAAATTTCAGTGGAACCTCCTGTGTTCCAGTTTGTGTCCATTACCCCTTGTCCTATCATTGTTTGTCACTGAGAAGAGCCTGGCTCCATCCTCATGACACTCACCCTTTACAAATTTATAAACATGAATGAGGTCTCCCCTCAGTCTCCTCTTCTGCAAACTGAAGAGACCCAGCTCCCTCAGCCGCTCCTCAGAAGGGAGATGCTCCACTCCCTCCATCATCTTTGTAGCCCTACGCTGGACTCTCTCCAGCATTTCCTGTCCTTCTTGAACTGAGGGGCCCAGAACTGAACACAATATTCCAGATGCAGTCTCACCAGGACAGAGTAGAGGGGGAGAGTAGTTTAGATCTGCTGACCCAAGGCATCCAGCTTTCCACTGCCCCCTCCTTCTGGCCTGATTTTCAAACAGGGGCTGTGCAGGAGAATCGTACCGAGCAGGTTATATGAGCACTGTTTCACCTTTCACTCTCACCTTTCATTCTCAGAAAGAAAGTCCACGCAGAGTCTTATGCTGATGAGCAGGACCAGTGCCACCGCCTTAGCTGCTCACTGAAACACAGGTCTGGTGTCTTTAGTCTGTGCTCTGCACTTTGCACACTTGCCGTGATCTGTTTCCCAAACAACAAGGCTGTGTCATGAGCAGTGTAAAATAACTTTTCTCAGCTTTAGGTAGGGGAGAAAAAAGAAATGAAAGCAACAGAAACTACTCTGAAAACTGAAACTCTCCTGTTTTATGGAAACCCAGCACCAGAAAAGCAGGTGGAAACTGAAACAGAAACTTGCTCAGGGAATGACTGGGCACATTTTGAAAAGCTGATTATAAAGGGGAAGCTCCCTCTTCGGGAAGCCAAAACTTTGCGAAGCACTTGCATTTGTTATTTAAATAGTAACACAAGAACAATTGTCCATTAAAACTTACAGTAGAAGAACAGGAAAATAGAAATAAAAGGCCAGAAGGATGATCTCACTTCAGTCCTCTGCAAATCGAAAGTGGCCACGGTGGCGAGGAGTCTGTTGAGTAATTCCAGGGGTGGTTTTGCTGTGCACACCCGCCCCATCTGCTCACCCATGCTGCAAGCTGTAGAACAGTTCCTGCTGCCCTGCCAGCAAACCCAGCACCTGCAAGAAGACAGAAACAAGACCACAGTTACAGTGCAGCACCAGGAGAAAGCAGGAGAGGTTCAAGACAGCTCCAGCATACAGGATTGCAGCAATATTAGGTTGAGAGAGGTTCTCCTCCACCTCTACTCTGCCCTGGTGAGACCGCATCTGGAATATTGTGTCCAGTTCTGGGCCCCTCAGTTCAAGAAGGACAGGAACTGCTGGAGAGAGTCCAGCGTAGGGCGACAAAAATGATGGAGGGAGTGGAGCATCTCCCTTCTGAGGAGCGGCTGAGGGAGCTGGGGCTCTTCAGTTTGCAGAAGAGGAGACTGAGGGGAGACCTCATTCATGTTTATAAATATTTAAAGGGTGAGTCTCACGAGGATGGAGCCAGGCTCTTCTCGGTGACAAACAATGATAGGACAAGGGGTAATGGACACAAACTGGAACACAGGAGGTTCCACTGAAATTGGAGAAGAAACTTCTTCTCAGTGAGGGTGACAGAGCACTGGACCAGGCTGCCCAGAGAGGTTGTGGAGTCTCCTTCTCTGCAGACATTCAAAACCCGCCTGGACGCCTTCCTGTGCAACCTCATCTGGGTGTTCCTGCTCCGGCAGGGGGATTGGACTGGATGAGCTTTTGAGGTCCCTTCCAATCCCTAACGTTCTGTGATTCTGTGAATATGACATAAATTATTTTTAAAGTTATCCTGCAGGCTGCCACTTCTTGAAAAGACATTGCTGAGAAATTAAATGTTGAGTAGAAGGAATCTGAATTGGTTCTGCACAGATATGACTAGCATATGAAAGTGTGAGAGAGACGTAGGATTATTTCCTGTGTGGAGGAGAGGGAGGGAAAACAATAGAAACGAATTTGTGAGAAGAATAAAACTGTATTGGAAAAAGCCTTGGAGTTAAGATGTTTTTCATGTTTTAAGGGAAGATACAACCTCAAAACTCACATTCTTCTCTCACTGTTTGTCAATACTTTGATTTTGGACTTGAAAGGGAAGCTC